CAGCATCTGAATACTTGTTCAGAATCTTCTTCAGAAAGTATCGACAAGCTGCAAAAGTCAGATTGATTTGGTTTGGGTTTTTTCTATCAGGACATCCATGGTATTTGTCAGATCAGCACTTCTAAAGAGTGCTCTTCCTCCAAAGATAGTGATAAACTAAAAGTGGTGTTAAACCCAATTGTAGGGAGACTGGACAGCCCAAGGGAGAGGTAATGGGATACAGAGACTTTAACCTTTAGGTCATCAATTTAAATTCAGCTCAAGTTGATCATGACCAACACTTCCACATGATTAATGTTTGCTAGCCTGTGTAAAGAAATAGACACAATAAATATTGGTGGACACATTACCAAGGTAACTGATCCCTTCTGGTAATCTCAGAAGAATACCTACACTCTGACAGGCCGTCAAACAGTCCTGATTCCTCTGGTTTCATGGTATCCATCACCACTGCAGACTCCAAAACAATGTCCTAACCACCATGCAATTTTCAACATGTTTTGGAATTTTTTTTTTCTTTCATTAAGTGGATATTTCAACCAGAAGTATCTTCAGCAGTGACCACAGAGTTATTTTACCATAATAAAGTTGAGTGTGCAAAGAATACAAAAGGCTATACTGAAAAATAGTGTTAAATTCACTATTATAACCCAAGTGCTACTTTCAGGCAGATTTGGTTGAACTGTTAAAAGAATGGATATAGGAAAACCAGAAAAACCCGAGACAGCTGACAGGAATAACCAGAGGCATGGAAAGACAGTTCTATGTGAAGTCTGAGATTGAGATTTAGTTTAGAGTCCAGATTAACAAATGTGGCCTGGTATGAACATATAAAATAATGATTATTACAGGCATTTCTTCAGAGCCTGGGGGTTATGAATAAAGCTAAGCACAAAGGTTCTTTCCCACCCTATAAGAATTCTGAAGATTTCAGAAAGGTCTTGTTAGTATTAGGACAAATCCTTTCACAATTTCCACAAAAGCAGAGATACCCAACCTGTTACAGACAATAGTCCAGTAGTAAAGACAGTTGCCTTGGATGCATTAGATATTCAGCTGGATTTAAGTCTCTATTCAGCTGGATTCAGAAAAGGAAATTGAACCAAAGTCGCATGTCTTAAAGGATAATGCCCTAACTATTAGGCTCTGGGTATTGTAATGCAGATTTCTCTCAAGGTTTCTTTTTGAGCGGTTCCATTTCCAATAAATTATTTATTTGCTATTTGAAATTAAAGCTTTTTAAAGGAATTTTTTTAAACTACCCTTGACACGAGAGAGCTTTTAGGTTTGATAAAGAAGCAATTTCTATCAAAAACTCTGTTAACTTGGAAAAATCCCTATTAGCTTTAGTATTTCCAAGAGCATATGCAAAAAAATTCAGACATTTGTACATAATATTTTACCGTTGTGGCAACACTAAAAAGAGGGCAGCAAGACCATGCCATGAGACCTTTTCCTCCTCAACATATCAAGTGATTTAAGGCTGAGAAATCATAGCTACTAATCATACACAAATCAACCTCTCCTATAAAATAAAAATAACAAAATATGTAATAAAATTAAAAATGTTTTCATGTAAAATTATCAAGGGAAAACACAACAGCATTCACACTACTTTTTTTTTTACCTAACTCAGAATGAAGTTGAATATTTTTATAGCTGGGAGGATAAGGTCTTTAATGTGGGCTTTCACTAACATATGAGTCATATTTACAGTGATTTACTTTTACCCTTCCAATCTATAATCTTGGAAGTATGCTGTTCCCAAATGAAATAGTGATTTGAACTACAAGTCTGTTTTTCTTAGCTTGCTCTTCTATAGCTACTCTTGCATTTGACTACTGCCTCCATCAAGATGCTTATTGATCACAACTTTTCCTTATTGTAGCTGCCTTACGCAGGGCTTCCCAAATTACAATGGTAGCCCTGCTAAAGCCATATTATGGGACAGTGAAAGTCCTGTGTGTGGAACCAGAAATACTGCCAAAGAACTGCAGCGAAACCATGAACTGGGTACAGACTGCATCCTTCCTACTTCAGTGTTCTCTTACTACATGAAAAATTCCCTTGCAATGAAAATGGACACTAGCACAGCAGAAAAAGGCTTGTCTTTAAAACCAAGCACCTGTCATGAATAGAAGTTTCTATTCCCATCTCCACCACCCCCAATTCACCATATTACAAAGCAGAAATAGCTCACATTGGGATACCAAACTATGTGATACATCTACTACCAGGAAAGTAATGTGTAATGAATCACATTATTTCTCCAGAGTTTTAAACAGGTAGAAACAATCATAGAAAAACTGCCAAGGAAATCAACAGTTCAAATTTTATATTGTCTGTAGGTCTTCAGACTAAAAATAACGCACAGATGTAATTTTCAAAAGTAGCATTCCTATTAAAAAGAAAACCAGACTCATCCTAGTTGATCTTAGACATTGACTTATTCACCAGAATAATTCCACTGAGGCAGATAAATACATTTGCATGAATAAGGGCCTGCACTGCAGGACTTCATAAAAACACACATATGGGACAAAAAAAATTAAGTCAGTAATTTTGACAAACTTTTGTTAACTGCAATGCAGTCAATTTAGTTGGCTATTCCTAAGTTCAGATCAAATACACACTGCTGTACAGCACTGCCTGAACAACATAAATGTGTTCAAAGCAATTTCAATTTTTAAGCTTCAAAACACACTCTCTCTGGTTCATAACTATTGATACACTTTTGAACCACAAATTCTTCCTGTCATCTTGCCTAATTATAACACATTCTTTAAAACTTAACTTTTGTTTGAAAAACAGTTTCATAAAATCCCTCAGTTCTACATTCAAAAGAGCTGTTAAGTTAAACTAATTAAAAGCCTAAAAATATAGGAATTCAAAGACAAGAATTTAGACGTGTAGCCAAAATGATGATCCTGGAGATGTTCCTACCTGGAGATGCTCCTACCCCACCCTGGAGATATTTCTGATGGCCATAAAGGTTTTGATGGTAACACGGGCCAGACCAGAAGCTGCATCTCTGTTCAGGGCCAGACTTTACCTGCTCAGCCAGGGTGTTTCATCTCATGGCTCAGCTTGTGCCCAGTCCTGTGGGGAGCTCTTGTGGGGAGCTGCACAGCTGATCTGAGAAGTTTGACCCACCAGGCACTCTCAAATTCAGCCTAATAAACACCAACCATGTGGACTCCCTACAAAATTCTTCAGGGGCTATTTCTTTCTAAAACAGCACATGAGCAGCAGCTCTGATCATCCCAGAAGCCAAATCCCCTGGTCCCATTCCTTCCTCAGCCTAGGACCCAGCAATGTCCTTTAGCAGAGTGGACAATTCTGCTAAATTCCAGATCCATCAGTTGGCTACAGGCTGCAGTAAATGCTGCGACAAGGAGAGGGAGATATCAAAGTTCTACCACTGAAGCTCTCTCATTGTACAGAAAAGAATTCAAGATTCATTGGGCTGGAGAAAGAACACAAGAGGGAGCAAGAGTCTGTAGCCTAGTGATTTGGGCACTCAGCTGGGAAAAGGAGTCCTGGGTTCCTGGCCTGTGCTCCATAGAAGGTTCATGCAATTTATCTAACAGCCTTTCAACAATCTAAGTCTTAGCTCAAATCTGGCCATGTTTTCCTTCCTGTTCCAAGTCTATAAATAACACTTTGTTTGCAAACATCAACATATTTCTTGTGTGCTTTTAATGCTAAATTTTAAATAGGAAACATCAGTAAAACTGAAATGTGCCAAAATCTGAAAGCTTATTTCATATTCACTTTCCTTTATAATACTTAAAATACAAGAACTTACTTGTGATCAGGTTAAAAATACTATTAAAATGCAAATACATGGTTTTACCTGTGTCAAATATGCTGCTTTGAACCACTACATTGGAAAGTTTTTTTCATCTCATCTTTCTCAGGATGAGGTAAGATTTTTAAGAAGTTATAAAAATCGTAATAGCCTTCTAACATCTTTATTCTGCTCCGTTTCTGATTCTCACTTAACAGTATTTTCATTTGCTGGTTCTCATTCCCTAGAACAACAGTGCAATGTCATGCAGGCAACTTTAAATCCAAGCGAGGTTACCCTGAAATTCCCACTCCAACAATTTCATGGACATATTTCTGGTTTTGCTAAACATTCTTTTCATAATAGCTTCATTTTGGGCCTAAGCCTACATAACAGGGTCCCTTTAAATAATATTCCATGCCTTGAAACATATTACAAAAACTGTTATATCAAGGCGAGTTATGCAAGGGCTCTCTATGGTTTTAGCATATTTACTCTGTCACGCCATGTGTGAGACTGCAGCCTCCACAACAAAACCTTTACACACTGAAGTCATTATCTCTGTGAAGTCTGCAACTGGCATTTAAAACTTATTGATGGCCTGGGTATTGGTGGCTCAGTAGGCAGCACTCTTGCCGGAGGCCCAGGAGGTCAGGGGTTCACATTCTGCTCAAAGAACAAGTTGGACATGTTCCAGGTTTGTGTGTGGGCTGTGCTGCACTCCTGAAGGGGCAGTCCTTAGGACAGTAAGCAAAACCTTGGCTTTTTGGGGATATCAAAGTTCTCCCACAAAGGGAAGAGTAAGGAGAAAGTTTAACAAGTGAATGGACACGATTGCACTGGCTGGGGACCTGGATTTGGTTGTGTGCTAAACACAGAATGGTCCAGCTAGAGCACACTGAACAGCTTTAAAGAAGCTGCCACATTTTAGTCTCTGTGGTCAGCACATGTTCAAGGGAGAGGTACAGACTCCAGGCATACTCAATATTAGCCAACTTCCTCAACAGCAGAGTGACTTTGGGTTCAATTTCACACCACAGAAATATGAAAAATGCATGTGCAGTTTCAGCAAGTGAGCAATCCAAACAAAAACACTTTAACACTGGAGCAACTTCCACCCATACTATACAATCACTGAAAAAATCTCCAGCCAAATATCTGAGTCAAAACTAGCAACACATATAGAGAATAATATAAATCAAGATTCGACCTGCTCTGGTGTTAAACTTTGATACTTGAATATCCCAGATGTCTCCCTCCTCCTCTTCTTCTTTATAGACAGGTAAAGATGGATCTCTTGAAGGAACTGGGGATCACACTCTAGGCAAAGGTTGGACAGGTGATCAATGTACAGCATGAGATTGTGCCGTGGCTATGTGCCTCCAACAGTGACTGGATCATCTGGTTTAGAAAAACAATTCAAAATTGTAATATTTTCTAAAGCACTTATAAAGGAAATATTAGCAAAAGGGAGAACATGTAATTTTTATAACATGGAATATATCACAGAACATCTTTCCATAATTATATATTTAATTTCAAAAATTCATTTCTTTCCTATTTAACATTTAGTTCATTAACTTTTCAATTCCTTAGAAGTCAGTCTTGAGAGGATTGCATCCCATTTCCACTGGCAGAATATGTTCAAAAGTCACCAGTGTGATATGAAATTACTCTTATAAGTGTCAATATATATATTTTTTGGCATCTAGATTTAGACACAACCCTACAAAGTTCCAGTTCCAGGGCCAGACCCAGCTCGTTCCTTAATCAGGTTTTGGGCCAAGCCAGTATTTATCAGTCAACTGGGATTCTACTCTGCAGTGCTCTTCAGGAGGTAAGCACACAGGTTAATGTTTTGTTAATGAAGATACATCTCCCAACACTCCCTTCTATGTCAATAGAATGAAAGAGCATTTTCTAAAGGACCATTCAGAGAACTTGAATGATACCTTTTCTTCCAGCATTTAGGAACACCATCTTTTATCTACCTATCTTTTACATGGTGCCTTCTTTTTTTTTTTTCCTTTCTTTTTTTAACCATCATGGAAAAACAAATACTGCCCTCATTCCCAGAAATATCCATTAGTATAATGGATCTTTAGGTTTACATTTGGTGAAATCAACCTGTATTTAAGCAACAGTGTTTACACACAGTAAAAGAGATAATTAATTACAAGTATCATGACATCTTTAGGCTATCACACAGTTGATGTATAAGCAACAAGCTGTTTAAATGAAACAAGATATTGATGGCATTATTTCAAGTTCAGAAACAGAGGAACTCCTAATATAATCCCAGCGCAAATTTGCAAAGAATTTTGTGTTCATTTTGTCACTAAAATATGAAAAGGAGCTATTTCAAGGAACGAAGGATGTCCTCTTAACCTGCAACAACAAATTTGTTTGGTTTTTTCTCTTCTCAGTAAGAAAGCAATTAGGATTTTTTCCAATAAAAATATCCTTGTCCATATATAAACACTCCTGGTAATCATGTAATTACTTTACCCAATCAGATTAAATTGCTGTCAGTTGAGTTCCCACCGTTGATTAACTTTTGTGTACTCTGAACCTAAATGAAGTCTTTGGTAAAGTCACTTAGTCATTTACAAAGGTGTCTCTATGATTCCAAAAAGGGTAACAGCAGTATATTATTTGCTATAATCATCAAATATCCAAGGTCAAAGATAGATCACAGTGGACCTCTTTTTCAAAACCCAAAGAAACACAGAATTAAACTATGTTGCTTATTTTTGTGTTTCTTGCCATGACTTCTAAATGTAAGAGTAACCTTTGACCCCCCCATATTAAACACCATAATTATGTAATTAAAACTAATTATGCAATTTAACATACATATTTTTGTCCTACAACAGGCAGGTCAATTACCTCACTCATTGACCTTGGAAGCTTTCACAGTTTAAACAAAACAATGAGGCTTTCAATTAATTTTAAAGTACAAACAGAGAAGGAGCAGCAGAACCGTAAGTCCTCACATTGATACTTCATGGAGGGATCACTTACAAACCTCTTCATTTTGGATTCCACAGATTAAATCCCTTGATAAAAGCTGTTAAATATCTTTCTTCTATGTTGCTATCATTAGAAATGTTAACACATTTGTGAACAAATCAGATACGCACGTTATTTGCTAAATGCAAGAAAGGAGACCAAGTAATAAGTTTGCTGTATCCCACTTCTTTTCCTCAGTATTGTTTCCTCCGCTTCCTCCCATACTTCACTGCCTCCATCCCTGTTTCATCACCTCTTTCTGAAGTCTCTTTCCTTCCCCTGTTTTCTTCATTATCTTCTCTGTTTCATTTCTAGTTGTAAAGCTTATCATTATATCAAACTGCTGTAGCTGTTGTCTTCTCCAGTTTCCATCCGCATCCCTGACCCCATTCACAGGGTTTCTCAGCAGGTCTTGGCACCGGGTGCCTTCTGATGATGATGATGATGATGATCCAGCTGAGAACAAACTAAAATTCAGCACTAAAAGCTACAGCTGAAGCAAATATGGTACAAGTTCTAAAATGAATTTTCCAGAGAGGGAAGTTTGGTACAAGTGAGAGACAATTTATGAAATTGTTGAAATATGTTCCACCTTGATAATATCTTTTTTTCTCTTTAAACACTTAGGTAAGCTCTATATACTGCACTGAAGGTTTTTCAAATTGTACAAGAGAGACTCATGCAATATTACATTGTGTCCAAAGAACTTTTTCAAAGAATAAAATTAGCATTATCATTTAACCACATGTTTATTCTTCAGTAAACTAAATCCCATTCTCTAAAGAATAATTCTTAAAGCAATCACAAGCCCAGGAGCTCAGCATTAAAAAGGATCATGTTCTGCTATGCTGTTTTTTTCAGTTGCTGTATTGACCACAAATAGATCCAGCAGAGTTAATAAGCTTAGGTGTGAAGTAAAGGGACAAACCACATATATACAAATACTCCTTATATATATGTATATATACACACCCTATATATATGCATACATACATATACCAATCATGCTCTAAGTTGTTTTCTCTAAACTTTGTTTCATGTGGGGATCAGAAAATAGCTACTGGAAAAACACACATGAAAATCTTTCCTGACTTCTTGAAAGCATGGCAAAAATACCTAAAGTGCACGTTGTGCTTTAGTGTCATTTCTAACACCATTTTTGGAGTCCTTTCAGTTCTCTGCTTTAATTAGGCCTGACTTGCACAAGGAGCTTGAAAAGATTTCAGTAAACCCTTGACATAATGGAAACAAGGAGCACTGAACTCTGAATGAGGAGTTACAACAGGAAAGAAACAATTTAAGATGGTAGCAGGCCTTATTGCAACATTAAACCTCAAATTGGATCTGATTTACACAAAGTAAACCAATATATTGAAATAGTGCCCCAAACTTCTGGACAAAAGTTTGAAGGAAAATAATACAGTGCATGTGTAGAAATTCTGTCCAAGGGACTGGAGGAGATTATTCCTTACATTCTCATTTAACAAAAAGGTTCCTTCTGTTTTGAACGGAACATTAAAATTCTAATTCAGCTCGTAGAGCATCCCAAACAGAGCAGCAAAAGAATCTGTGAAGGAGCCCAAATATGGTGCTATTGAAAGAGAGTGGATTAGAGGAATTGGGATAGAATCCTACAAGTGGCTAAGCAGCAGCAGGAGGTCAGCTTCACAAACAGCAGGATGCTGTTCTTGCCAGACGTGAGTGACATAATACAGGCAAAACAATCAAGATTTCAGCTGATAAATGTATGCCTGAGGAAAAGGCTTTGCTGTAGAACTTTCATAAGCAACAAATATTTAAGCAAATTCTGTAGACCTAATTTACACAGGAGAGCATTTTTTTCTTATACAAACGTTCATGTTAACCATGTAGACCAGAATTTTTTACAACATAAAGACAATAATTTTAAGAGCTTAAGTGTAGAAAATATAGGAGTCTTTGCTCAATTATTCAGTAAATGGATTAAACAAAGAGCTTTCACAGGTTGATGCAGATTCAAATGTGTCCCAAGCAATTCTGTGTACATTAGGATAATACACATGAAAACATTAGCTCCAAATATCTAGGATATCGAGAAAGAATACCAGAATCCATGTAGCCCCACTGGTTATCCATAAATTGCATATATCAGTAGTATGAGACAAGTTTCAAGGCTCTGAAGGGAACAGTTGCATTTATAAGAAGACATTGAGATATTTAAGTAAGATGATCAATAAATCGTTTTGGTTTCTAAATGTTATGGTGTTATATTAAATCAGACTTTAAACATCTATTTTTCACTTCTACTATTTTTAAAATATCTTTTAAAAGACTGAGATACCACTTATTTTCCATTTTATGCTATGAGCAATTAAAGGAAAATTTATTAAATTACTTTTTAGCTAGGGAAGTGCAAAACATCATGCGTAAAACATTAATCTGTCTACCCCAAATTCTTCTGTCCTCTGCAAAATATCTTTTGGGCTAAATACTTTTGCAAGTCTGAAATAAATTGTAATTCTGAGGTCAGATTCCAGCCTGGAGCAGAGACCAAACTTCCCCTAGACTCTTAGGACATTGTGAAATGAGAATTTCTGTGTGGTGCAGTTGACTGTTTTCATTCATAAATCAGATTAAGAGGCAGTTGGGCCTTTGAGAACATGAGCTACAGTGTTTAAGGAAGCAGGGCAGAGAGAAGGCCAGCCAGGAGCACAAGGACACAGAGTTCTCCTGCCATGGCTTGGGAAATCACATAAGACCACCATGGCATTAGCAGACAGCACCTGAGGACACTTTCTCCACATGGCCCGGAGCTCTGCTATGGTCTGACCACAAAGGGGGCATTTCATACCACGGGGACCATGATAGAGCATGTCTGTATTTTGGTAACTTGATGGACATGGGAATAATCTATGGCCATTTCTGCTGGAGAAAGACCAGACTTCAGGGCAGGCCAAGCTTGTGCTACCTGGCTCCAGTGAGTGGATCTTGTACCAAGCTGGCCATCTGTGATCTCAGTGCACATGATTTCTGGAGATCTTTCACAAAACCATGTGATCAGGAATTTGAAATGACATGGAGACAGCCATGGCATTCAGCAGCTCCTGCTCAGCTGGAAGAGGAGGCGATGCTGCTCCTCCCTCACCTGCAGTTGTGCTGCTCCTGAAGCCCAGAGCCATCCTGTTCTCATCACCACAGGCACTGGGACTCGGGTACATGCAGGGGGGTGCTGCACATTTAAACCTGCTCGGTGCAGAGCAGAGCAGCTCAGTAAAAGCTGATTAAGACATGGGGCTGAGCTAAAAACTGGATGCTTTGTGAATATCTGTGTTTTGCCCTTTCCCCAAATGTCTTCTCCCAACAAGTGAGAGAGGACAGCTGGAACAGACAAACTTTCTGTACCCAAGAGA